GGAAGGAAGGAAGGAAGGAAGGAAGGAAGGAAGGAAGGAAGGAAGGAAGGAAGGAAGGAAGGAAGGAGAGACAAACTTGTATCTTGTGCTATAGCTTAATTTTTAGAATCTCAAGTTTGTAAAAAGCATTTACCTGTCTGTGAAATATCAGTTTATGTCCAGATAATGTCCAAAAGACCTTAGTGTTAACCATGTCAACTGTTAAGTGCTGCCCAGGTATTATATACTTCCTGCATAATTCCTGTGCATAGGTGACCTTTATAGAGAGAAGAGGAGGAATCAAAATCAAAAAGCATTACTCTGCATGCAGCATGTCCAGTATAACTGTAAACCGCCCAGAGGCCCCCTTGAGTGTGATGGGCAGTGACTAAATTTGAAATATAAATAAATAAATTTAAATAAATAAATAACAGTTTTAATTTCATTGTACAGAAATGCACTAATATGGTAATGCACTGTATCAATTTTGTAAATATATCAAGCTAGTGCATTATTTCTAGTTTCCATGGAAAAATTAGGCCAAATAGCTTATGATGACACATACTGGATCATTTTTAAATTTTTTGCTTTGCTCTCCTTTAATTCATTATTTTCTTTTTTAAATAACACACCTAGGTAACACATTACCTGACAACTGCACTTCAAAGTTTTATGGTACTATCCTTCTTTTCTTTAGATGAGTTTTGATGTCACTTTTTTTTTAGTAATAAAATATAATCTTAGCACCATGAATGTCTAGCATGTACAAAATGCTATTGAGAGAGCAATCTTATAGCTCAGAGTTTCTTAAAGTGTTGTGATCCCTGGGGGCGGGGTGTCACTAGACAATGGACCCTTCTTTGCAAGTCCTTTCTGAGCAGGATTATCCATTCCAGAAAGCTTGCGTGTTATTTTCATTGGGTATTTTTACCCATCATGTTTGCTTTTCAGACAGAATTACAGTGGAGGGGAAGAGAGAGGGAGATGGGTAGTTATTGTAGTACTGCTGTCCTGGGAGAGAGACAGCACTGAAAGCAACTGGCAGTGTTTTGTAAGCCATAGCTTTTAAAGAGAAGTTTAAGAGCTTATTTAAGGCAAGGAAACACCATTTTCTTCCCCTTCCTCTGATATTGGGGAATGAGGGATGACTGTCTTCAAAATGAAACCCAGATTTCAGGGTTATGCAAAAGTAAGCATGTTCATTGATTTGATGAGTTGATTATGTGCCATCAAATCATTTTCAACTCCTAGCAACCACATAGTTGGGCAGCCATATAAATTGCTTAAATAAAATAAATAGGTAGATAGATTTTCTCCATGATAATCTATCCCTAACCTGGTCTTTCAGGCCTTCCAAGGGTGCACTCATTGCCACTGTAACTGAATCGATTTACCCTGCTGCTAATCATCCTCTTCTCATTCTTTCCACCTTTCCCAGCATTAGAGTCTTCTCTAGAAAGTTAGGTCTTCACATAATGTTTCTGAAATAGGATAATTTGAGTCTGGTCCTAGGGTGATTTATTCATTGATTGATTTGTTTGTTTTCTTGGCTGTCTATGGTATTCTTGGGAGTCTTCTCCAACACCAAAATTTCCATAGAGTGTCACAGGGAATACCCTGGTTTGCACTATTCTGATCTTTGTAGCTATAGACACTTCATGGCATCTGAATATCTTTTCCAAGGCCTTCATGGCTACTCTACCATGTATATACTGGTCTGCAGTATATTTCTTGAGTGCTTGTTTCTTTATTGTTGATGGTTGATCCTAAATGGTAGAAGCGATCCACCACTATATCTTCATTGTCAGTTCCAAGGCTGATTCTCATATCTGTTTTCAATCTGGTCTCCTTTATATTTACAGTAATTTTAGTCTCATTTTTTCATTGTGCTCCTTGACTTTTATTACTAGAGCTTGCAGATCCTTTGTATTTTTGGCTATCAGGGTAGTGTCATCAAAATAGTGCAGGTTATTGATGTTTCTTCCTCCAATTTTAAAACCATGCTCATCTTCTTCCAATCCAGCTTTCCTTAATATATTCAGCATGTACATTGAAGAAATAAGGGGAGAGTATACAGTCTTGTGGCACTCCTTTGCCAACCTGGAGCCAGTTTGTTTCGCCAAGTTCTGTTTGTACTGTGGTTTCCTGACCTGTATATAAGTTTCCGATGAGGACAATAGGATGTTCTGGGATTCCCATTTTTCTGAGCACTTTCCACAGCTTGATGTGATCAATAAAATCAAAGACCTTTCTATAATCAATGACACACATAGTGGTTTCTTTTTGGTATTCTTTGGCTTCCTCAATTATCCAGAGTGCATCAGCAATAAAAGCAAGTTCATCCTTTCCATTAAAAAGATGATTTTTAAACTTTTATTGGGTTTTGTTTTTTTAATTTCTAAGGAAATAGTTTTATTTTATACAGTTGTTAAGGTTTCATAATTTTTAATATGATATATAGATTAAAATTAAAAATGTAAAAGTATCTAATGATCCAATGATATATTTATTTCTTACCCAGCCCTAACACCAATAAAATCATTAGTGTTATTCATAAAGCAGGCAATACAAGTTTATTTGGGGGGATTGTTGTATCATCTAATTTGAGAACTCATGCTATACTTATTTAATCAAAAGTAAGACTATTCAGTAGGCTTTACTCTTGAAAAATGTACCTGGATACAATATTTGTTAAGATCAACATATTTGATTAAACAAAGGATGATAATACTGTAAGAAAGATGATAAATAAGATCATTCAGAAAAGATACTTAATTGAATGAATTGGCCTTTTTCTGTCATGGAACATCTAGGATTTGATGTAGTCTGATGTTCAGTATCATCTAAATTTCACAATAGCACAGAATTAGAAAATACTTAGTATTTCTGGAAACATTTCCTGAGATGTAACTGTGAGACTCCTATATGCAACTCTCTCTGAATAACTCCTACTGAACTGAGTAGGGTTACTTCTAAATAAGTAAGTCTAGGACTATACTCTATGATGTGTCATTGAAAATGGCAGCAGCGGACAGTACAGCATGGCATACATGTCACTGCTGTTAATGGTGAAAAAGGACAGTAGCAAAACACATTATTTAATTGAAAAGAACTGCTTTTCAAAAAGAGCTGCTGATATGCAGCTTCCACATGCTAGGGATGAAGAAGACTAATGGAATTTAGATGATATGGGTGGGAGATGGGATGCTTCAAAATCCTTCAACGGGATAGCAGTTTCCCTTTTATCCTGTTACAGTTCAATGAGAAAGCCTTCTTATGTTACATGATGTAGGTTTTTAGTCCACTGATATCAGGGAGACAATTAAGATATCTACTAAGACATTTAAATAATAGCAGCTGAGGAATTGAACACTTTGAACGCTTTCCCTGTGCCTCGTTTCAATACCGCAGATGGAAAATCTAGTGGCAACGCCTCAATTAAGATGAAATATTTAAGCCCACCCACTGAATTGAACACTTTGAACGCTTTCCCTGTGCCTCGTTTCAATACCGCAGATGGAAAATCTAGTGGCAACGCCTCAATTAAGATGAAATATTTAAGCCCACCCACTGAATTGAACACTTTGAACGCTTTCCCTGTGCCTCGTTTCAATACCGCAGATGGAAAATCTAGTGGCAACGCCTCAATTAAGATGAAATATTTAAGCCCACCCACTTATTTTCAATGTAATCGCTTTGTTTTAAATAAGTAGCTTTTACAAAACTACAGATGGGAGCTTCATTTCAGATCAGCATGGAGCAAGGGAAAGATACTATCTTATGTTTGAAAACAATGAAGTTAAAGCAGGGAAACAGTTATGAGTCTTACCTTTCTTTTCTTATCAACATCTCTTAATTATTGTAGCAATGCCTTCAATGTAAGTGAATAATCTTTTCCTTCAATTTATAAAGAATGGATTTGCATCCTGGCACACGTAGGTTGTTGTCTAGACCAATGTAATTATTTATAAGCACAGTTGCAGTAGGAAAAATGCTGCTGTTTTCAGACTGGATTCCTTAAAGTAGCATCGTCTTTGCTTCAGGCTGGCATGGGAGCCTCCAAAGTCTGGCTGCTTTAACGAACAGTTGAGGGGTGCTGTGTTCTGTGTCCAAAGTGCTTCTGGATACTTTTTAAAGCATGTCCAACCCCAATTATACTGGCTGGAGGACTGTTTCTCCACCCCCAAAAGACTTCCCAATTTCTACAGAGTAGGGCTACTATATCTGAGCTGCAAAACTCCAGACCACCACTTGATGGCAACAAAAAGTTAGTTTTCTATATTTCTTTATTGCGATCTAGGGATCATGTGGATTTCTGCAAGCCAGATACCAGGAGTAATAAATTAATAAGAGATAAGAGTACTTACATTAAAGTCAATTTCAGGAATGCTCTGTCCAGTAGGCACAAGTACCGTGAAAGGCCCGTATTTCTCCAGGGGTAATGAACAACCCTTAGCTGTTAAAGGATTCCATACCATGTATACATTAAAAAACACCTGAATATCATAAATAATTATACATCTGACTAGATGCATTTTTTCCTTAACAGAACATTTGCCCTATTTGCAATGCGTTCAGCCAAATGTGGAGGTTAAAATTTTTATGAAGACATCTTCATCACATTTCTGTTTCTATCCCCTACCTTAAGAAAATGGGAGAATTCGCTTTTCTTTCTATGTGCTATTTTTCTGATATATTACACCTTCTTGTTTGGCTATTCCTTGGAGGGAGGGCTGAGTTTACTGGTCAAACGTAAGGAACATTCTAGTTTCTTGCATTCCATTTTTCTAGGATCCCTGTAGGCAGCCCTGAATTGGATTGAAATGTTGAGGGAGACATTTAACTCTCCCTCAATACCCTACATCATTTTTTCAACCTACATTGTCCATCAGCTGCTACTTTTGCCAGACAGGGAAAGATATGCAAGTACTTACATATTTTCCACAGAAGGGGAAGCAGAAAGATAGGGCATAT